GCAGTCACCACCCACTAAACTCAAGTACACACAGCTCAGCCCTCCCATGAAATAATGGCACACGACGAATGAAGCTGATAACTGAAGGCTGCTATAATCACATGAAAAGCAAGAGAAACAAGGCTGCTCATCTGTAATTATTCCAGGTGGCCTGTTGCCAAGACCCCAGTGCCAGGAAGACTCAGGCCGACCACAAGTAAAGAGTGAACACAAACTTCAGCGCCCTCAGTGTCTAAGGCTTGCTCTCACAGCCTATTCTAGGTGGCCTCTGCCATAGTTTCTGACAAACTTTCTTCCTAGAGATGGCCTACCCAAAATTTAACTTAAGAAACTAATTATTTGATTTAACAAAGAGCGTAGTTCTGCTTCTGCTGGCACTGTTTAGAGCTGGAGATGATGAACTTCTCCAGTGGGACAAAGGGAAAAACGAAGCCCTGAGATAACTGATACAGCATACTTCCAAACAAGGCACGTCTGCCAGAGGCTTGGAGCTCTCAAGAGCTGCAAGCCAGAGCCCGATCTTCCACAGCAGATTCAAGCAGAAGCTCCCGGAGTTTCTCCCCTGCACGAGCCATACTATAAATCTCAATGAAATGAATATTCCCACTAGAGCACAGTCTGGACATTTCTCAAACCATCCGCAGCAGACGATGGCCTGTACAGTCTTGATAAAAGGTGCGATACGTCTACGGAGGCATTTCTATCACTACAGTAGGCTCTGGGCCCTTTTGCTGAGGTAAGGAAGAATCTGCTCATGTTTAGTTTCAGAATTGAATGTTTCATGAAGTATGTTTTCCTAGCTCAGAAACTCATAAAATGCAAAGAGACACAATGTAGAATCCGAAAAAGCCCACTTTTCCTTCCAAACTTCTGTGATATTTTACAAATAATAAATCTACATCCTTTATTTATTTTCCCCAACAAGGCAGGGTTTCGTTGCAGTAATATTTCAGGACAGAGGGACCGCGTATTTGCACATGACATATCTTCAAACAAAGGCCACACAGAAAGAGAGAAATAAAATAAATGGGGTGCACACAAGCAACGGGCAAAGCACACAGGGGGTTCTTGCAAGTTTCTTTTATATTTGAAATTACACCAATATGGATGGTAAAAAGAAAAACATCTTCCACTGCTGCTGGGCAAAGGTTTTTTTTGGTTTAAAAAAACAAAAGAAGAATAGGCAGTTGTCGATCTTGTTCTTCCCCAGACCCAGCTCTGGCTCCTTCCTTCTGTAACAACAGCAGCAGTGGCCTAGAGCACAGATCAGACTGTATGACAGAGGGTTGGGGGCTATGAGAGACGAGCTGATACTGACCCTGGGCTAAGTACCGGGGCATCAGCACCCCTCTCCGCTTTGAGTCTATGTGCAGAAAGGAGCCAGAAAACAGTCTCAAGTCGATAGCTCATCTGTTTTCTAAGAGACAATCTGTTCTCTACTCAATAAAAGCACGTGAGAGAGGAAAGGTGGATAATGTTTTAGGAGCAAAAGAGTGTAACAGCTTCAGTCTAAAGTATTAACCCTCGGAAAGTTCTTTGTCCCTTTCATCACCTATTTTTAAGGGCTAAGGTTCACTAAGATCAAAGAAATCTACATACCCCCTCACCATGTTGGTTAGTAAATACGCCCTCTTTTAACAATGCTATCAGGACATCACATTTTGTTCCATCAAAACCTTTGAAAATGAGGCACCAAAAACCAGTAAACTTCAAGGAAACACATTAGTCATTAAACTGATTCAATCTGAGGAAGAGTACAGACCAGGTTTCGGTATCCTTTCTAAGTACTGGTTCCCCAAATAGGGGGAAAATTTCTGTAGATTTTAAAACAGATGACTCTAGTCACCACAGCAACAATTTCACAGCACACTTTCCGTACTCGTTTGGATGGAGATTTAATAAATGTTTCAGTCATTTCCAGTCATTCATAAAGGGCCCATGGAATTCTTTTTCCAGAGATGGGGCTGCCCTTCTTTGGAGAAATCCCCTATAGGGAACAATCCTTTGTGGGATCAAGTGAAGGCAGCCAGTGTGGAGATTTTCAGAAACACTGACACCCACTTGAGATAAGCAAGCATAACAGTTCACAGCCATTTTATCGCCCAGATCACATGTTCCAGCTACAAACTAGGGGAAAGGCTTTTTTGGAAAATTTAGTAAGCATCAGGAAGCAAGAATGAGGACAAAAAGGAGTAAAATCTAAGGCAGCCAGCAGCAGCCATGAGTCAGGGACAGTGATATCAAGAATTCCGCTTCCCTGCTATCTCCCTATAAAGGGCCTGGGTGCTTCCCTCTAGGGGCAGCAACACACAAAGGCCTTGGGGAAAGTCAGACGGAGGGAGGTGAGGGGGGCGCCTGAAGGCTCACCTGAAGACAGGAGGCCAGAGGACCCAATGTCCGAGGCCAGAGGACCCAATGTCCGAGGCCAGGGCCTGGGGGAAGCCTGAAAAGCCTGTGACCCATTGGTGGGCCTCAAGAACTCTACAATTTCAAGTAACTAGCACAAAGACACGACTTGTTCCTGGTTTCTTCATCTTAAGTTAATGGGGGGGGGGGGGCGGGTAATACTTATGTCTGTGTTTGCTTGTCATGTGTCCCCAGTCTAACATCAGACATCAATATATTTACTCACTCTGTCTTCCTCCAAGTAAGTGTAAGTCTCACGAGAGCCAGAATTCTGTCATTACTGCATCTCCACAACCAGAACTAGGCTGGCACACGGCAGGTCCTCAGTAAATGTTTATGGAGTGAGTAGAACCAAGAATGAATAAGAGATGTCTATTCACATCAGTTCACTGAATCTCCCCCTCCTTAAGAGATACTAATAGGTAAGTAGAATTCCAAAATGGAAGGAACACCAAACCACGGTGAAAGCCAAGTTGATAATGCTAGAACACCAGGAAGGAGATCCTGGCCTTATTAATAAAGAAACCCAACTCCCCAAAACCGCATGCTCACGAAGATAACTAAAATGATAAATAGTCACTCTCTCCCTGACTCCACACCCCACTGTGACTAATTACAAGGAGTACACTGCGAATACGGACTTCCCCAAATCTCCATCACAAGGATTCTTACCTTAGGTCAGGGCCATGCACAGAGAAATATTTACAAACCACATATCTGGCAAAGGACTAATATTAGAATACATAAAGAACTCTCAAAACTCAACATTATAAAAACCAAATAATCCAATTAGCAAGGGGGCAAAAACATGAACAGATATTTCACGGAAGAGAATATACAGATGGCAAATAAGCACATAGAAAGATGTTCAGCATCATTAGCCATTAGGGAAATACAAATTAAAACCACAACGAGATAGCACTGCACACATCTATCAGAATGGATAAAATAAAAAACAGTGATAACACCAATGCTGGCAAGGCTGCAGAGAAACTGGATCACTCAAACATTATTGGTGGGAATGTAAAATGGTACAGCCACCTTGGAAAACAGTTTGGTAGTTTCTTTAGAAAAGCCAAACATACAACTACCGTGTGACCCACAATTGCACTCAGACATTTATCCCAGAGAAATGAACTTAGGTCCACACAAAACCCTGTATATGAATGTTCACAGCAGTGTTATCTGTAATAGCGAAAACCTGGAATTAGTCCAGATATCCTTTAGCAGGTGAACGGTTAAACAAACTGGGGAACATCCACACCATGGAATACAGCTCAGTAACAAAAAGGAATCAACTACTGACACACACAACAGCTTGGATGAACTTCCAGGGAATTTCACGCTGCTGTGAAAAAGCGAATCCCAAAGGTTACATACTTCCATTTATATAACATTGCTGAAATGACAGCATTTGAGGAGACACATTAGTGGTTGCCAGGGATGAGGGCTGGGAGTGGGAGAGGCAGGTGTGGTTATAAAAGGGCAACAGGAAGGCTCCGGGGGTGTTGGAACTGTCCAGGGTCTTGGTTGTGGTGGAAACAGGAATCTGCACAGGTGTTAAGACTGTATAGAATTTACACACACACACACACACACACACACACACACACACACTACAAGTAAAACAGCAAATCTGAAGGGAGACAGGGATTACAGCAACGCCGCTACCTTGGTGGTGATACTGGACAACAGTTTTGCAAAATGTGACCACTGGTGGAACTGGGAGAAGGGTACAGGGATCTGTATTAGTTCTTACAACTGTGTCTAAATCTACAATCACCTCAATTAAGAAAAAAGTTGTGTTTCTAAAAATAAAAATGAAGAACAAAACATATTACAATCTCACTTATATAAAACAAAACCACACACACAAAACCAAAAGTATATCTTTATGTGTATGTGTAACTATATAAATGCACAGAAAAAAATTGTCTATGTGGGAAGAATCCAAAGCTTTCCATCATACTCTCCCTTGGGGAGAGATGCGTACCTACTACTATGTATTTAGCAGGTACTACTGTACACACACGTGCACGTGCACACACACACTACACATACACACACACACACGAAAACCAAGAATCTGAGGTCCAGAGATGAAGCACTCTATGTGAAGTCACAGGATAGTAACCGAGCAAGAAGTCAAGCTCATGACCCTTCTGCAACTCCACACTGCCTCTGACAAGTTGGCTGCTCGAAGGCCATAAAACGACAACTGAAGAAAACAAATCATTTCCACAGGTGCTGTAAAATTTTCAATTTTCTGGAAGTCTTTTATGACAGAAACCTAAATGGTTTAAATGGCATTAAAAAAGGGGAGAAATTAGAGAATAATATACAAGGTATGATACCATGTATTGAAAAGACAACCCATAAAACAAGTATTTCTCTGCGGACATTTATAAGTATGCAAACGCACAGAAAGAGACCTGGGAGAACACAGACCAACTGCTCATCATTGTCCCCTCTTGGGGAGACTGAGGTGACAGAAGGGTGTTGGTCAAGGGGCATTTGGACTTCAGCCACATTCCAAGTCAAGGACAGCTTATCTATTTTGTTTAAGAAGGAGGAAAAATAAAGCAAACACTTACTGCATTCATAGATCTGTTCCAGCTTATCCACAGAAGAAAGGGAGAAAAATTTATAACCGGACTTACTACCAACAGCTAGGGACCTGCAAAAAAGCCAAATTCAGAAATAAGAGCTGATGCGTGTAGACAGTGATAATGCACAGACTAGCTCCACATTACCAAACAGCAACCATCACCTCTAGCACAAGTTAGCACAGCAAATAACTTCATGTAGTGTGCACCAGGTAGGTGGTGGCTGGGCAGGAAGGAGGAAGTAGCAGAGGAAGATGCCACACCTCACAGCCAGGAAAAGGTAAAGGTCAATAAAATAGACAATATTTTTATTTAAAACCTAAAAAACTTGAAAGATAAGTTTGACCTATAAATGAAAGCAATCAGCCCTAAATTAATGATCCCCTCAAAACCAAGTGGGGTTTCTCAGCTGATTTGATATGATACGGTATAAGTGAGAGTCCAGAAGCTAAGTAAGCTAACATTCTAAATTTTGAACAAAGATATTTAGAAGCTAGGGGGATGATGATATCTTGCTGCATTTCAGTAAGGCCATAACAAATGCAGCTCAACCACTTACATTACGCCACAGCTGAACAGTGGGATGGACACAAAACATACCAAAAAGCTAACTTAAAATCTGGAATCGGAAGACTACACAGTTGGCCTAGAAGGAAAGAGCGAAGGCTCCATTTCGATAGGCTCATTTCTAAGATTCACCACCCAAGACCAATACCCCGCTTCTGCTCAGAGGCTTGGAGGGACCTCAAGAGCTCTCTAGATCCCCTAGCACCAGAGAGCTGTGACACCAAATGAAGTACTTCCTCATCGAAGGTTACTACTCTCCAGAACATGACTGACCAAGAGGGGAAAAAAAAAAAAAAAAACCAAGAAGAAAGCACAGCTTTTAGAAACAGAGAGAGTGAGAGAACAATAACACAGAATGCGGTGGGACATGTGAAGAATCAGATACCAGGATCGTTTTCATATTTGATGTCTGGGAGAACATGAACACAAGTGGAGGCAGAAGATAAACCAGAAGGCTAGAAACAAAGATGAGACATTTCATACTATGAGTATTTGTACGCCAAGATAAAAATTAGGGCTATTTTAAAGACCATTTTGTCTATTAAAAACTTGCGATTTCCAACCTCTCTTTCACATATATGTATAAGAAATATATTCCAAGAACAGAGTTGCTATAAGCAGTACAAAATTTTTAAATTGTAGTTGGTTCATCTTAGAAGTATAAACAGAAACAAAACTCTACCAGCTCCTATAATTTTTCTTTGCAAAAATTCTTCACTATATTGAATTAATGTATCAATGAAGTAATGAGGTATTGTTACCTGTAAATATTTTGAAAAGTAATAAAAGAACCAACAAAAATACAACATCCAGGAAGGCTAAAAATAAAACAAAATCTCAGCAATCTATAACTTTTGGGAAATTGGTGTTCAGGAAAATGTTTTCCAGATAACTAAGAGTTGCTATTTTAAGCACCAAAACCTTTTTTCCCATAATTTCTGATTAAAAAAAAAAAAAAAAAGGCATTCTTGTATTATACACTTTCCTGTGTTCTGAAGACAAGCGGATGGCAAATCCTTAACACTGTCCTGGACTCACATCATTAAACAACTTATTATACTATCATAATACAGTGACCTATCCAGACCCTAACAGGAGTTGAGGGTTTTGTGTACCCATCAAACGGTCAGACTAGCCCTGGGTTGATAAAAATAGGTTCTATCTTTTGTTTTGCTGACAGTTGTCACTTTTCCTGTCACTATCCTACCATCATTAACAGCCCCTTCCCCTTTCTAATTTCTTGCTTACTTGGAAACCAAATCATGCTTATTAGTATCATACATAAAATAAGCTTAGAGGGGGCTTCTTCCATAGGCGAAATTAATGAGCTTTAATTAATTAATGAGAACCTGGATTTACATCCAGGTTCTTAGCTGTGCTCCAAACATGAAGAATTCGTTAAAACTAGGCTTTGCTGATCAAACATCAGAACTCTGATGTTCTATCAGATATTCAGGAACTGATTTAGGATATCCAATACCTTAGCTGGAATTTTAATCATATGGTTTACAAAATTATGCACCCCAATCAGTAAGAAATGTAAGCAAAAAATATTCCAATTATTTTTTGGTATGTATATATGGTATAGTATGAGTACATACTTTATCTATAAAGGTAGACATTTTTAAAGGGTGATAATAAACGTAAATAGGTTTGATATTTACATCTCAAACACCAACAATCAGGTTCACACCCCTCTCTGGAGACTCTGCTTTTAATAATTTCTCATGATTCACCTGACCAACCAATGGCAGACATGTTAATGGGAGAGGTACAGTAACAGATATGTATGAGATTCCCCTAATAAATAATCTTATTCTCCAATAAGTGTTTATGCAGTAAGTTTTTTTTTAAGGTAATATAATGAGATCTTTTACTGACAAAGGGAAAAACTAGCAAACCACAACATAACAAAGGATATATTTACCTAATTCCCCATTCACTACTAGCCCCCTGCCTTCAACTGTGCCTGGTGTCAAAATTCAGAGACCCCACTGCACGCTCTTGAGGCGAGGTCTCAGTCCTTCACAGAGCGGGAGAGAGTGACTGCTTCTGAAACACGCTTTGAGTCAATCCTCTTTATTTTCACTGTACACACACCCTCTTCCACTTCTGGAGCTTCCCCAGACTGCCAGTCCTGAGCCTTCTGGGGGCTTCTGCGGTTTTAAACTAGGTTGGTTCTTGCTTTCTCCACTAGCAATTTAGGATCCACTTTCCTTTACCACTTGCTAGCTTCCAAAATTTTGTTGCTAGTGTCTCCTTCCTCATTCTTTCCATCCTATAGCTTTAAGCCTTTTAAAGTATCTTTCTGATATTTTTGCGTGTGTGTGTGTGAGGAAGATCAGCCCTGAGCTAACATCTGCCAATCCTCCTCTTTTTTTTTTGCTGAGGGAGACTGGCCCTGGGCTAACATCTGCCAATCCTCCTCTTTTTTTTTTGCTGAGGGAGACTGGCCCTGGGCTAACATCTGTGCCCATCTTCCTCCACTTTATATGGGACGCCCCCACAGCATGGCTTGACAAGCGGTGTCGGTGCGCGCCCGGGATCCGAATCCCGGGCAGTCACAGCGGAGCGCGCGCACTTAACCACTATGCCACTGGGCCAGCCCTCTTTCTGATATTTTAATGATTAACATTTTATTAGGGTTTTGGAAAGAAGCCAAAATAAATGCGTGTGTTTGATCCACCATTTTTAACTGGTCTGTCACTGAATTTAAACTTGAGCGTTTGATATCTAAAAGACAGTGATTTCCACTAAAAAATGAAAATGTGAATCAGATCTTTTTCTTAACTCACTTTTCTTTTCTCTACCCTCTTACCAATGATCACTCCATAAAGGTTTCCCTTTTCATTATCTGCTTCATGCAAGAGCCATACCTGATTATAGGGTTAAGCGGAAATACTCCACATCGACCAGAAGGAAGCAACCTGAATTGTTGCTGCCGACTGACCAGGTAGCCCCTGGAGCCCTCCTCAGTAAGTCTATCACTGTGACAGGCCCTTGCCTCCAGCTCCGTCATTTCCATCCCAGACCCCCACCCAGATATCCCTAAGGCCTTTCAAACTCAACAGAATCCAAAGCAGAGTTCACCTTTTCCCCCTAAACCGAAGCCTTCTCTGATCTTTCTCCCATAATGTTATCAATATTCACCCAGAACCCAAGCCAGAGACTTGGGAGTAACCTTAACTTCTTTCTTAAATGCATCATGCACGTCCATGGGTCACACCAAGTCCTGATGGCTAACCAGGCTCCTTTCCATCTGCCACTGCTGTTGGACAGTATCCTCCTCAGAGACTGCCCCGCCCTCCTCAAACACATCCTCCACCTAGCAGGCAGAATGACCCAGAACCATAAGGTTGAAGGATCCTTAAAAACCATCTACTCCCAAGTTCCCCAATGTACTGATGAAGAAAAAGAGGAGAGAAGTGACCTTCCCAGAGCAATAACTGTACCAAGAAGAAACCGGCTGAAGACAAGCGTCTCCTCGTTGTCTGTACATCTTAACTTCCCTGGATGCTAACAACAACAATTCCGCAAAGAGAAGACTTGGAAAATCAAGGCCCTTTCTTTATTCTCTCCCTTTCAGAAATGAAGTTTAAAACAGACATTGCCATCCCACTGACCTCCCAGAAGCTGAGTAGTGCCCACTGACAGTGCCATTTAAGATTCAAGTGATACTGTGGCACTTATTATTAGCTTGTTAACTTTAATTTCAAAAAGCCAAAAATTCCTCCCAAATAAGCCTTCCAAAGTGTTACTTTCAGAAACTAGGATTGGAACTAATCAGTCAACAGCAAGATAACTGAGATGTGCTGTTCCTGGTGCCTCTTTCACTGCTCTAGTAAAAAAAAAAAAAAAAGGTAAAAAACAAATAAAACTTATTCACACTTTTAGGATAAGAATCAGAGAAAAAAATACCACAATATTTAAACCCATATTACCAGTACAAAAAGAAAGGCAGGACAGATGTAGTTTGGTATGCAAAGACTATTCTGCTGTTAAGCATTACTGTAAACATACTTGTATTCTATTAAGTGAAATGGCTTCCAGATTTCCTCACTGAATACAGTGAATGTGGGTCCTAGACTAATATTCTTTGTCTTGTGAAAAACTGCGTTCCTCTATTAAAATAAACTCTGGAGGTGGGCAAAGGAGGGAAAGGCATAAACTGTAAAGCCTTTCCCTGAGAACTTTTCTTATTTCTTTCAAGTGTAGATTTAAAACAAATTACAGACATTTTAATCAATAAACTTTTAATATAATCCTAACTTACTACTTACAACTTATATTCATACTATACCAAGGTCTCTTTGGCAACTCAAAATTCTAACACAGAAATCTTCTCTTGAACTAATAACTTCAGGACTCACAGAGGAGTAAAGAAGCACATGATTTCCAAGTGCGAACAGGTCTTATTTCAGGCCAGACAGAGTGACATCCTTCTATTCTACAGGCAACCTGGTAGCCTATTTGAAAGAACAGCAAAGAGAATGCTTTCTCATATCTGATTTCCTGTCAATATAAATTATTAGCGAAAAATTGTACAAGTGGTAGAAAATGTTTTAGAAATTCTCTAATTTATACAAGACATAAAAAACCATAAAGCTACCATTTCTTACTGGTCTCAAAATATTAAGGGCTTAAAAACCAAATCACAGTTGGTTTGAAATGTCCTCTTCCCTACCTGGATTAATATAATATAGTCTATCCCAATTATAACCACCTGCAACAGGTTGTCCAAATTGTTTTTGCTGTACTGGCTTTTGGTCACACAGCCCACTATGGTATTTGGTAGTGTTAATCTTTAAAGAGTGCTACTGTATGATGTCTAAATTCACTGTCCTCAGAATCCCACTCTGTAGGTAAAAAAACAGCATGGCAGAGTGGAAAGAACAAGAGAATCCAGGAAACCTACATTCCAGTCCCGCCCTCAACCCACTAGTAACCAACTGTAAGATGCAGGCACAGCTCTGAACTTTGGTTTCCTCATCTGTGGCTGGAGCAGGTGATCTGCTCCCGCTTAACTCTCAGTACAGCTCCACTTTGGGACTGTCTGCACTAGTTTCACAACTCGGCGAAGGTGCTACTGAGCACCCACAGCATACCACTGACTTGCTTGCTGCTTGCCATCCTACAATTAACTTTTAACTAAAAAAAAAAAATCTCATTTTCCGCTTTGCTGATTCCATTCCGCCAGTAACAACTGAACCAACTACTCAGTATGAAGCCAATGACCCACTCCTTCTCTCTTGCATCACTTCCCCTTACTCACTTCCCAAGATGGCTCTCCTCCCTTCCAGTCTCCTAACTCATCCTTCCTTCTCCAGAAACCTCATCTATTAAACTATCCCCACAGGTCACCCGAGACAGCCTCTGAAGAATTGGTTTCAAACCCAGATGGCTTTGGACAAACAGCGTTCCAAATCCACGGGTTGGCATCAAGAGCCTCTCTTCCCCTAGGGATGGCCCATTCCCTGAAGCCCCGTGACTCCAGGGAAACTCCTAGGGAATTATTTCTCTGTCACATCCCCCTCGGCTCACTTTCTATCCAGATCAGATGCCAGGATTATTACTAAGTTTGTTTCTTGCTCGGGGAGGACATCAAAGTTACCTGCCAAAAAGAAAAGCGAGACAGGAAAAACAAGACATAAAAGCGGGGGAAGGGGCCCTGAGATGATGAGGAGACAAGGAGAAGGGCCTGAAGAGGGAAAGAGTGGGGGAAGAGAGCAGAGGATAAAGGTGGAGGCGGGATGTAAGGAAAAAACCCACTTCCACCGCTCCAAAGGCGGCTGAGACAACAGGTCAAGCCACGAAGTTCTACTCCAACTCTGGGAAGTGAGGGCCCAAAAGAGAAAGTCTTCCCGTCGGTGGGAGAAATATCTATCCCCATCACCCTTCCCGCCCAGGGATCGCAGTCCCAGGAGGGCGCCCCTCCCTCCACGCCCCGGCCCGCCCCCGGGGACGCCCCTGCCCGCCTCGGGCCGCTGGCAGGCCGGGCCGGGCCTCCGAGCCTTCGAACTCGGGGCGGACTTGGGCAGCCCGAGGTCCCCAGCCCCCTAGCCTGGCTCCCGGCAGCGGCCCCGTCCCCGTCCCCAGCCCCCGCCCGGCCTTACGTGTTGTCCTGGTTGAAGTTGGCGAAGAGCAGCTGGCCGGCGCCGGCCTCGCCGCTCTGACTCGCCAGGTTCATGGTGGGCGCGCGGCGGACGGGCGGGCCGCTGGGCCCAGCCAGGGGCTTGCGCGCGGGAGGCCGGCTCGGGTGCGCTCAGGGTCGGCGCCGGGCCCCGCTCGCAGCCCCAGTGGCGGCCACTCGCTGCTCGGGGATCAACCGCCGCCTCATCCCAGCCCCGCTCTTGTTTATGCTCCAGGGCCGGGGCGCCCTGCGCGCCTGCGCAGCCCCGCCCCCTCGGCGCCCGGCCTCCCACGGCGCAGGCGTACTGCGGAGGTCCCGCCCCTTCACCTCTGGCCCCGCCTGGGGTTCCGGTCGCACACGCGCACGCTTGGGGACTCGCCGGGGCTCGCTGGGGAGGGCTTGCGGGCGCGTCGAGGGCCGAGCATGCGCGTGGGAAAGAGTAGGCGCTTGGTCTCCCTCATCGTTTTATTGCTTTGAAAAGGGCCCGCCGTGTGCCAATCAGTGGCTAAGTACTTATGTGCATTATCTTATTTGGTGTTTATTGCAACCATATGTAGAGAATATTGTATTCCCATTTTACAAATTTGAAAACTGAGGCTCAGAAATATTAACCTATTTGCCAAGTATTAGATCTGAGACCAGAAACCCAGTGGTTTCTCCAAGGCCCCATGCGTTCTGGGTCCCTGGGAGAGGAGTCCACCTTAAATTTGTTCATTCATTCAATAATATTTAGGAAGCACCTTCCATGTGAACTAAATAGGCCACCTCCTTTCCCTCAGAGAGGTTACAGTGGGGAGGATAAACACAAAGCTGGGTACGATGAGAGCACATAATGAGGTCACTTAATCCACACTTAAAGGACAGGGACTGTGCAGCCAGGGAAGGCTTCCTGGAGGAGATGAGACCTGAAGTTTGAGTGGTAGGTAACTAACCTAAAGAGATGGAAGCATTCTGTATGGCAAAGGTCCACGGATGAGAGTGTGACCTGTGCAAGGAACACTATGCTCAGTGTGTCTGAGCTTAGAGTGGGACGGTAGACACAAGGCAAGATTTCACTTGAGAAATAGGCGGCCAGATCAAGCTGGGTGTTGTTAAGATACGTTAAACAAGAGACTAATCATTATTCTAAGAGCAGTGTGCTGCCATTGAAAATTCTTAGGCAGGAGAATGGTGTGATCAAATTTGTGGGAAGGGAAGTTAATTCTAGCCACTGAGTCAAGAATGCATTGAAAATCATTGAGGAAAGAATGGTCTTTTCCATAAAAGCTGTTGGCTCCCCTACCTCACACCATACTCAAAAATTAATTTGAGATAGATAACGACCTAAATGTGGAAGGTAAGACAATAAAGCTTCTAGAAGAAAACATAGGATAATGCCTTCATGACTTTTGGGTAAACAAAATCTTCTAAACAACTACTTTAAAAAGTACTAACCAGGGGCCAGCCTGTGGCATAGTGGTTAAGTTTATGTGCTCCACTTCGGCGGCCCGGGGTTCACAGGCCTGGATCCTGGGCAGGAACCTATGCACTGCTCATCAAGCCATGCTGTGGCAGGCCTCCCACATATAAAGTAGAGAAAGATCTTCCTCAGCAAAAAGAGGAGGATTGGCAACAGATGCTAGCTCAGGGCTAATCTTCCTCACCAAAAAAAAAAAAAAAAGTACTAACCACAAAAAAAAAAATTGGTCTTCATCAAAGTTAAGAATATCTGCATCTCATCAAAAGAGACCATCAAGAGAGGTTGAAAAGGCAAGCCTCAGAATGGGATATGTACATATATTTGTGATACATATTTTTGACAAAGGACTTATTTCCAGAATATTTAAAAAACTTCTACAAATCAACAAGGAAAATACTGTCAACTCATTTTTTCAATGGGCAAAATACTTGAATACAGGCACTTCACAAAAGAGGATATCTAAATGGCTAATGAGCACCTGAAAAGGTGGTCATCATTAATACTCATCAAGGAAATACAAATTAAGAGCAAACGAGATACTATTAAGCATCTACTGAATTGGCTAAAATTAAAACGACTGACAATACCAAGTGCAGACAAGAATGCAAAGCACTGGAACTCGGATACACTGTATGAAGTCTAAATTGTTAGAAACACTGGAAAACTGACTGTATCTACTAAAGTTAAACATACGTATTCCCTATGACTCAGCCATTTCACTTCTAGGTATACACTCAATGGAAATTAGTGTATATAACCTCCAAAAGATGGGTATAAGAATATTCATAGCTGCTTTATTCATAATAACCAAAAACTGGAAATATCCCAAACATCCATCTACAACAGAATGATTAAGTAAATTGTGGTACATTCATATAAAAGAATACTACACAGCAATGAAAAGGACACATACCTGGGGATGAATCACACAAATATAATATTGAGTGAAAAAAGTCAGATACAAAAGAATATATACTGTATGAGTCCATTTATATGAAGTCAAAAACAGGCAGAGTAGTGGTTACCTCTGGTGGGGGACTGGTTGGGAGTGGGCACAAGGCAGCCAGGTGGGGTGCTAGAACTGCCCCAGATCTTGATTTCAGTGGTTGGCTAAATGGGCATATACATATGTAAATGTATAAATATACATATGTGAATCCCCTGGGTTCTAGACACAGTCCTTGACTTCATTTTGAAAAGCTACCCAATTTCCCCTTGTTCATCAGAGTCTATTATTCCATGATAGTAACTTCCTTCTCTCTCTACTGTCTCAGCAAGTGAAGATCCCAAATTGGCCAGGGGGTGGACTCAGTTACCAATTTACCAGAACCATGACTCTGTTCCCTGGAGTAATAGGGGACGGTTTGGGTACTGGGATCTCAAAATCCAGTGAACCCAGGTTGTGCAGTTGGAAACAAAAACTTCTTAAGCAGATTATTAGATGTAATATGCAAGGAAACACTACTACCTCCACTCCTAGTTTGCAGGTGTGTACCGCATATTGTAGAATGACACCCCAACCTCACAAGGTGTAGTCTCTTAGCTCATCCCACAACTGAACCTTCAGTAGGCCATTGTACCCTCTATCTGGGTAATCTGGGTAATAGTTCGTATGATAAGGATGGTGAATTCCAAAAGCATAAGCCCATTGTCAAACTTCCTTCACTTTAACGTAAATTTCTTGGTCAGAAGAGATGTGGTACAGACCCCCAGATAACCCTATTAAAAATGGTAACCTCCACCCTTCACACATTCCCTATCCTTTTCCTTGCTTTATATTTGTATATAGCACTTATTGCCTTCCAATACACCATATAATGCCCCCTCCCAGCTGAAACATAAGCTCCGTGAAGGCAAGATTTTTGTCTGTGTTGTTCTCTCTGTGTTCCCACTACCTAGAACAGTGCCTGAAGAACTAACCTCTGGGCCTCCATTCCTGGCGATCGGGATGGGCTGGAGCTGAGGGCTGCTGCCCACTCATCCAGTTTTTGTTTCACTGCTTTATTATCCGGGTGGTGTTGGCAACCACTGACAAGTGTTGTTGGAGAGTAGGCTGGATTTGTGCCAGAGAGCTTGACCTGTGTGTGACTCAGTAATGCACCCTCAAGTCCCAGCTCACCTGGGGACAGCATGAGCTGACGTTCCTGATGGCATGTAGGGCAGGAAGGATGCTTGGGAGCTTCCATCATCACCTCAGGATTCCTCCTGGTGACCGGCCTGATGCCAATCCCAAGGAGACGAGCTTCCCTTCCTCTTGTCAACCTTAAAGCAGAACCATCATCTGCAAGTGCTTAGAACATTCCTCAAGTATTCTTCTTATGTGCAACATTCAGAGATGAGCAATGCTCCCACAGGCAAGTTCCTAGATAAACTTGTGGGATAAACAGCTGGCATGGAGGAAGGAACTAAAGGCTGGAGTGGAAGGGTGGTGGAAGGCACCCTGCATGAGATGAGGCGTGGGAGGGAGGTCAGGATGTGTGGAACACTGAAATCAGACAGGCATCATGAGGTTCATATCATGGCAGATTCTCACAAGGTGTGTGTCCTCAGGTAAGTCACCTAACCTCTCTGGGCATCAGTTTCCTCAATAATAAAAAAGACTAAAATAACTCACCTCCTGAGAATACTATGAAGATTGAATGGATGGGAGGAAGCACTTCCAGAATAGTGGAGCAAGAATCTCTGAAAGCCCATTTCTCCATAAAAGCAAAGAGAACACTGAAAAATAGACAAAATCAACTTTTTCAAAACTCTGGAAATGAACTCAAGGCTTGCAACAATCTGAGAAGTATTTATTCAAGTAAAACAGCTGAATCTCAGTAAAAACAGTGAGCTTTGTGGCATTTTAATCTGCCCTAATCCCATCCCTCTTTCCGTGCTCGGTGGTAGCCTTGAAATCCAGCAGCATTACAATCATGAGGGCTGTGAAAATAAGCAGGCTAGCAGCCTCTGGGAGGGGCAGAATGGACTTGGAGCTCCCCAAAGCCCCATTCCTAGGGGGTTGTCACTATTTGACCTGTCTGGCAGTTTGCTGAAAATTTCCATTCCCAAAGCGTGTCTTTATTTGATCTAAGAGTCTGCCAGTGTCCATGTGGATAGCCCCATCCCCAAGGCATTTGTCCTAAACAAGCAGTAGCAATTGTTCAATATTGCAGCTCCCTGAGGCAGCATTACCAGTTGGGGCTAACAAGAGACTGACAAAAAAAAAAAAAAAGGAAAAAAAAGAGAAAAAAAACCTTAAAAAGGAATAACTGGGGAATAGGAGGCTTGGCATATTCCTGAGACTCTAGAGGGCTATGTGTATGCGCAGGACTGTGCACATGCCCAAGAAAGACCTGAGAAGGTCCTAAAATCTCACCTCTGGCTGACCTTGAGGCTCTGTGCAAGCAGGAAGTAAAGGCTAAGGCAGACTTGTGAACTGTCTGCTGGAATGTTGAAGGCATACTCCAACATGCCCACACAGACCCTCAGCAAAGACTGGGAGACTTATTGATTCAAGGCACTTAAGGAAATCTCTGTCCAATTATTAGCTGACCACTAAGATAACTGAGCAAAGACTTCAGTGGTCGCACACAACAAAGAATACAGACTTTACAGAATTAGTTCAGAAAAGTCAATAAATAAACAAACAACAACATCAAAGCCTGGGCTGGGAAGGGGGATATGATTTCCAGAGTTGCTATATTGTGTTATTTATTTATTTATTTATTTATTTATTGGTTTATAACATTGTAAAAATTTCAGGTGTACATCATTGTACTTCTATTTCTGCATAGATTACATCATGTTCACCACCA